TCTCTCTCTCTCTCTCTGTCTGTCTCCCTCCTTTTTCTACTCCCTCTCTCTCCACCCTTCTCTCTCAACCCCCTCCTTCTCTCACCCTTCCTTCTCTCTCTCTCTCTCTCTCTCTTTCTCTCTCTCTCTCTCTCTCTCTCTCTCTCTCTCTCTCTCTCATCTTTATACGAGCAGCATTTTATACATACTGTCCTACTAAGCGAAACCACATACACCTGGAAGAAAATTCCGTCTTGATAACTTTGTGCACATAAATTATTTAGGCCGCGTGTCCACAAAAGCGGAAACGTCATGATTTTTTGCCGGGGGTGATAGTTCGGTTTGTTCATGTCCAGCAATGTGAGTGTGAGTAGCTCTAACGTTCAACAATGTGTTATTTTTCATTATCGGACTATAAACTTAAAACAGTATAGCAGATGCCAATGAACACAAGGCTGGAATAAGTAATTTAAGAAATGAATGGTTTCCAAAAATAAAAAAAAATTAGTAAAATCTAAGATTATGCATTTAAACCAGGTGGTTTTCGCATGGACTTTGCTAAATGTGAGGTGCTGATTACGATTAAAATATTAGATTTTGCACTCGAATTGATTGAAAATTATGAGTTTTTTTCTGTGTTTTTTTTTTTAAGTTCTGGCTGGGCCTGATAAGTCACCACATGGCCGGACTAAAATGCCGCATGTGGATTCCAAGCTATCCGTCTCTTATCAGGACGTGACTGTCGAATTTGGAGGACACATTCAAATTCAAACGGAATGTTCATGGATTGTTTTGGTAAAAACTGGTGCTCCGTTTCAATGATCGACTTCCCGAGAGACGGACAGCTAACCAGTCGGGCGGTTTCTGGTTTGGTGGGCACGCGGGCTTACTCATCGTAGTCATAGGCATGTTGATATAGAGTAAAAACAGAAGACTGTGAATGCATAATAATAATGATAATAATATATCTTGTAAAAGTCAGAGTCGCTATTAAAAAAAAATATTTTAAAATAAATATGAGGGGTCGTGGTGAAACAAGGCACTTGTCTAAATTATTCTATTGAAGAAACCGGCATTATACCGCGGGTTTGGTAGTTTTTATCAAATTTTTAAATTTTGGTTCAACAGGTTTTATGTCCATCTAAAAACAATTTTTGTGGATTTTTACTGAAACCATTGATGAAAAAAAGGCACTAAAAATGTAAATTTTTAGTTTCCAAGGGCCCCAAAGGCCCAAAAACTGACGACCACCTGATTCCACTGCATCGTGAGACAAATGCATTTCCCTTCCCTCACAAACCTGAACATTTTTAAAATAAAACTCCCAATGAAAACAAGGACAATACATGTACATACATGTATATTAGTATATCAATACAAATGTACATGTATTCTTACTGTTAGACATAAAAAACCTGGGCAAAATTAAAGGTTCAAGATTGCTGTTGGTTTTCTTAGTTTTAGTCACTGTGTATAGCATACTTCTGTGACTATGCTCATCCTTCCACGAAGCATACATTTGTTTGAAAATACAGAACTTTTCGAATAGACACATGCAACTTTGTTTATATTCTGGGTGGGGTCTAAAAAAAACCCAAAAGTGCTGTAACCTGTTTGGTTGAGCCATTCCATAACAAACAACTGAAACATTTGGCAAACTGTCTGGTAATGTAAAATAGTAAAGTGCAGTTCATGAAATACAAAACTGTTGGTTCACTTTTTCTCCGATTTTAATAATAACTTTATAATATTATTCAGAAATGCTTACTGACTAATTCAGCTTTTATTCTGTCAGACCGCTCGTGTAAAGACTCGCTAGAAAAATATCTAACATACCTTGCCCCAAAATAAAAAAAATAAAACAAAACAAATTCCAATAACAACAAAAAAATCCAATAACAAAGAAAAAACAACAACCCAACAACAACAACAACAACAACAACAAAAACCCACCAAAAGCGAAAAAACAACAACTACCAAACCCAACCCCCAACATATGTACTTTTGTCTGCTTTTCACGTCGTGGTTTTTCTGTACCGCCCAATGATTTGGTTTTCTATTTCAAATTCAAATTAAATACAAAAAGCAAAACAAAATACCACGCCCACAATTCATAAAAACAAAACAAACAAACAGACAAAACACTCTCTTCCCAATAAATCGGTACAAGTATTTCATGACCTCTTGTTGGAATCGTAATCATACTTTAATTTTCTCAGTTCAACAATTTTGGATTACTAGTGCATTATATATATGTAGTGTTAAATTTTGCAAGGAGCCAGCCCTGCAAGGAATTCCCTCACGCGTTCTGTACCTGTCATTGCCTGTTTAGAATACAATGATCAAGTACAGGGCGGAGATAATGGAAGCGATGACGAAGATCAAAACGAGGACCAGGAGGAAGTTGCTTGGTCTGACTGTCTCAGTAGGTTCAAGGTCGTTGCTAAGTTTGTCCACGTTGTACTCGTCAGTCCGGGCTGGGCGGCCTGGGGGATGGAGAGACATTATTGGAACACATTTTGTTCAAGTAAACAAAACCCCAACCCAACAACGAAAACATCATCATCATCATCATCATCATCATCATCATCATCATCATCATCATCATCA